TCTATGTTTAAAATTAACGAACACTGTGTTCTTTATACTTCCTCAAAATAGCTCAATTCAATTACTTTAAATTAATTAATGCAGTCAGGAATCACGAAATTAAATGCACTTCTGTTAAAGTACGTATACCTCAAAAAAGAAATATTTAAATTATATGAAGTTCATTCTCTTTACCACATTAATTGTGATTAAAATAAGAATATATATAGAGAGAGCAATATATATATCTATATTATAGATCTGTCATAAAGCAGATTGTCAAGATGGCAAAAATTAACTAAAATGATACAGATTATATGGAAACGATGGATAACTGACTATCTTAATCACTTGCAGCAACAAAACAAATGGTATTTTTCAAAGGACAATATAAAGAAAAATACAATTAAGATGATCATTAAAGGTGATCAGTTACCTCCATTTAAATGGTTACTAGGAAGAATTTAACAGACAGTTTCCTGGTAAAGATGGTAAGATACGAGTAAAAGTCATTAACACAAAGTTTGGTCCAGTTAAAAGGCCAATATCAAAAATTTTATTGCCTATTGAGGATAACTTCAAGGATTAAGTTTCATTGTTAATAAAAATATACATTGCTTTTTATTATACTTCTATTTTAGTAATTTTGATGAAAAAAATGTGAAATTTTTTTACTGTTTGAAATGTTGATAAAGGTATACTGTATACTTATCATAATTATTGAAAAATTTGCAAATGTTCAAACTTTATCGAATTTTTTTAATTGTTTATTTCATTCTGTAAATGATTTATTAACTTTAAGTCTTTTGTTGATGCTTAAAAAAATGAAGAGCTGAATTGTTAGCATTTGATATTGAATTGTATGCTTAGATTTCGTTTGCATGTCATAGATATTGCAACGTGGGGCGGTATGTTGTCTCCTACGCGGCATATATAGTAGAACCAGCGACCTCAGAACAAAAGGTGTATTCATTATTCATTTTAGTGATTTGTAATTCAATATTACATTATTTTCATTAGTATTAAAACGAACATGAATGATGCACCAGAAAATCTAAAAATGGAGTTATAAGTGTGATACAAATCTTATTGAAGGATATGAAGATGATGATTTCATTGACTTTTATTCGTAGTTGTCGAAAGATAACTATCCTCAGTTACGAATTTTTGCAATAAAAATAATCATTTTGGAATATATTTATATGTGAAAAGATTTTTTTTTTTTCGCAATTGAAAATTAGCAAGTCTGAGAAACCCGATTGATTAATGGGTAACTACAAACCGTATATGAGGATTGTTTCTATTAATTTTTCTTCAAGGCTACAAATTTTGAATCGAAATGCCGTCAAATGTGGAACTGCAGTAATAATGAAAAAATAATAATAATTGTTTACATATTTTTTTCTGCATGTACCGAAGAAAAATTTAAGAAATAAAAGAAAGAGCTTTGTAATTAATTATTCTCACGTTTTGACCCTCTTCGAAAGTTTCCTCTATATATTTGAAAACTTTTCGTAAAATTTGTTTATTTTTAGTTTAAGTAATTGATTGCTAAAATTAAAGGTAAAAAAATTTGATAAGTATTAAAAGAAATATTTCTTTACATTTTGTATTAACTTATATAAGTTTTAAAGAATTTAAAAAAAAATAATAATAACTTTTTTTATTCCCTTTCAAAAATATTCATAGAAAGTTAAATATATGAAAATCAGCAGGAAAATTTAACGTATTTCACTGTTAAAATAAAAGCCGCTCTAACTTGAAATGAAGCGAACAGAGCATTAATTATAAAGTCGCTAAATTTTTGATTTTAAGGATACCTCAGAAGCTAAAAATGCGTACGGAATATTGAATTATACCCATTCTTTCTTGCATTTGATTAAAATTTATCTCATTAGAGATATATTTCCCATTCAGTTAATTCAATTCTCACTTTGCGGCAAGTCAAAAATACATAAAAATTCGAAATATTTGCATTAAAAATTTAAAGATACAGAAAAAAAATAAAACACCAAATACAGTTAAGACAATTAAAAAAACAATTTTTACAATTAAAAATTATAGTTTCTATGCACAAAACAAGCAGTTTGGTCAGCAGGCAAGAAGGCAGATTCTTTGGTGCCCAAATCTAAAAGTTTCCTTTTGGTCCCACTCGGCAAAAAGACACTGTAGGTGTTGAAAGAATTAAATCACTATTCTGCTAAGTATCAAACGTAAACGAATATGGCTGCTATGGTAAAAAAAAAAAAAAAAAAAAAAAAAAAAAAAAAAAAAACTGGTGTGTACACTACATGACTTCCTTGTACGGAATATTAAATTATACTTTCCTGCGTTTCATTTAAACATATTGAATTAGCAATTAACGAATTTTGAATTAAATGTACTTCTTCGATACAACATAAACGCACTCTTTAAAGTTTAGTATATTTATTTACCATAGCGACACTCTGATGCTGGGTACACTTAACAGCGTTACATATCATTCATTTTATAACTCAGAGTGCACAAACATTGCATCATCAGAAGAATTACCACATGTTCAAGTATTGTAATAAATCTAAAACGATATCGTATAAAAGAAATTAAGCAAATAAAAAGTAGCATAAAAAAATAAATTAAAGTCAATTCCTACTTAGGTCAACAAAGAAAAATTGTTATATAATTATATATATTTAAACGAATTATATTACAATATATATATATCTAAAAAATAACATTTTAAATATATTATAATAACTTAATAATTATATATAACGAAAAAACTGTATTAACATTAAGTGTCATTCAATACTATTAAAACGTAAAAAAAAAAAAAAATTAATGTATTTGAACTTGAACGGATGAATAAAAAGAATTTTATTAACTACTGAAAATTTGAACAAGATATAAGGAGAGTATGAGCTAATAGTAGGAATTTAAAAAAGAAACAGTTTTTAACAGATGATTCAGCGCCGCTTCCCTAATGCGCATGCGCTACTAATTAATTCAGTTCTTACTTCGCGGCAAGGCAAAAATACAGAAAAATTCAAAATATTTTCATTAAAAATTGAAAGATATAGAAAAAAATAAATAAATAAATAAAACACCAAACACTTAAAACAATTTTATAATAATAATAATAATAATAATTTTTACAATTAAAATTACAGTTTCTACGCAAAAACATGCAATTCGGCCAGCGGACAAGAAGGTAAATATTTCGGTGCACAAAATTGAAAGTTTACTTTTGGTCTCACTCGGCAAAAAGACACTGAAAGCGTAGAAACTGCCTTAATTTGTTGTGGACGCTTTGCTTTGTCAATATATGGGATAATTTAATAACTTAAATTATAGTTCCAGAATGAATTAAGCATAATTTAATTCGCAATAGTAAAAGATAACGCTATTTTGTTGTTGCAAAGCTTAGTTTCTCTAGATTGGCAACAAATCCACTATTCTGCTAAGTTTCAAATGTAAACAAATATGGCTGCTATGGTAAACAAATTAGGCTTAGCCGCACTTAAACAGCTTTTAAGTTATTGATGATTCTACAACTATTATATACAGGTTAACTACAGGCATAAAAACCTTAACCGGAAGATAAGAATAATATAACTGAATCATTAGTTAAACCAATAATTTTTAAAAGAAAAAAATTGCACAATTTACCAAACATGTAAGAACAATAAAGAAACTAACGGCGCTACACTGTTCCGAATAACAAAGTGGATATATATATATATTTATATACTTTTGGTGCGGCCGATTGCAACCAAAATGGGAGGTGCACATCTGCATGTTAGAGCAGTCCTATATACAAAATTCCAACCTTCTTAGGCTACTCCTTTTTGAGTTATGCGAGATACATACATACATACGTACAGGCGCCACGAAAAAATCTCTTCAGAATTCATTTTAAATCAGTTTTGTAATATTTTTGGGGGAAAAGAGTCCTTTATTTTGTCCTTACATACTAACGTCACTCAAAAACATCTTTAAATTGCATTCGATAGCGATCAAAATGGATATTTCCGTTGAAACATGATAACCTGAAATTTTTTGCGACTACAATACTTCCTTTTTACTTCGTACAAGGAAGTAAAAATTAGGCTTAGCCGCAATTAAACAGTTTTTAAATTGTTGCTAATTCTACAAATATTGCATGAAAGGCATAGAAACTTTAACCGGAAGATAAGAACTACATAATTCAATCATTTTTAAAGGGAAAAAATGCACAATTAACCAGCATATAAAAATAAAAAACTGAGCTCATTGATCCGGGCAACAGAGCATGCATATATATATATTTGTTGCAGCCGATTGGGGCCAAAAAGGGAGGTGCACAACTACATGTTATAACAGTTCTATATACGAAATTTCAATGTTCTGAGGCTACTCGTTTTTCAGTTATGCGATATACATACATACGTACAGATGCCACGAAAAAATTTCTTCTGAATCAATTTTAAATCCGTTTTATAGTTCGTTTGGGGAAAAAGAGTTCTTTATTCTGTCCTTACGTACAGATGTCATGGAAAAACATCCTTAAATTGCCTTCGATAGCGGTCAAAATGAATATTTTCATTGAAATATGGTACTCAGAATTTTTCGTGATTACAATACTTCCTACAAGGAAGTAAAAATCTTCTCATGTTTGAGAAAGTATTTCAGGAAGAAGCTTTATAAAAAGAAAAGATATAATGCGTAATTTTAACATAAATAATACTTTGATCTTAATTTTGTAATCATTAACTGAATAAAATCGAACTACCTTAAAATTTCGTTCTGATGTAGTTAACGAGAACTTGTGAAAATATTTCATTCCAGTTAAGCTGCTCTAAGCAAACTGCTTAGGGTAAAATCTAGCATTTAATTCCATTCAGAATGAAATGTTATATAAAAGTGTATTCCTTGTACATACTTAGCACTCAGATATTGTAGAAAATGTACATTTATACGTATATTATTGAATTAAATTATTGAATTAAATAACTTGAAATAAATTTGACATCTGGCAACAAAACTTAAAGATATTTGAATATTAAATTTCACCGTCTTTTCTCGGCATTTAATAGTTTCAAGTTCTTCGGCAATTATTCCTCAATATTTTTAGGTTCGTATATTTCATATTAGATGTTTTTAGTTTTTAAACAAAGCGCATTTTGCAGTTCAAGGAGCAATTAACTTTTACATTCAGATATTTCCTGTTGTTATACTAATGAGTTTCAATGTCTTTTTTTTTTTTTTTTTTTTTTTTTTTTTTTTTTTTTTTTTTCTGTTTCAAGATGGCGCGCTCATGTAGTTGTTTAACATTAAAAATCTGTTAAACTTTCTGAAGATTAAACTGTTTGAAGTTGTTGTTGTTATTAAACTGTTTGAAATTTGTTAAGCTATCTGTTGATATGAAATTGCTTCAATACGGAGTGTTTAATATTTTAAATCTACGCTAAATATTGGGCAAAATATTATTTAGCGCCTCATTTTCCGATATTAATTTTAAAACTTATGATATTAATTTAGTTTTGATGGACAGTAAGAGAAATAATCTTATGCTTAAGGTATATGAAAGTACCAATGAATAAGTGTTGAAATAGAGGAATTCAAGCAATTAAAAGTTTTAAATTATTTATAAAGCATAACGCATGTGTATCTAACTTATTGCAAATACATTAAACTGATGCTGTTGTTGTTGTAATGTATCTCACTTGTCTGACAGTAACATCAAAAAAAGCCCACGAAATTCATCGTGGCAATGAGAGCAAGATTGGGCCTGTCGTTGGCAAGACCTTGAGCACCGTACAGGTGACAGTACGACTCGCTCAGTTCCAACAACCCCAGTTTTGATGGAGAGCACTCCGGGTGCACGGGTCCGAGTATCTCTCACCCCTCTTTCCTACCGCCAACCCCTCCAGAGGACTTTTGGCTTCCCGCATATTTAGAGCGCCGCCATGCCGCACAGACACTATGCATTAAAAACATGGTGCTACTTTGGTAGACGGTTGCACGGATTTTTGGCGATCTACATTGGCGCGGTTTTTACAATCGTCAGCCATCTTAAAAAACGCTGTTTTTAGGTATTTTACGCATAGTAAATTATTCGAAACTTTAAAAAAATAAATATCGTTAAAAATAAGGGATTAATTTTTGTTGAAAACGTTGTTTTTAAAATGGCTGGCAAATGTAAATAAATACATTTACTAAGAGTATAAAATACTAAAGTAAGGATAAATTATTACTTTTATATAAAAAAGAAATAGAGTAAAAACACCGCTATAAAAACATTGCGCCAACGTTTAATTGGATTAAAATATTATTTAAATTGAATATCGAATTAAAAACATCATACCAACGTTTAAAAAAGTTCAAATATTACTTAAATCCAAATACGTTAAAATAAGTTTCATATGATATAATTATTTAACATTAAAACATATGTGGCAATAAATATCTCAACAATTTTTGAAAACAGTGTATTAATTTTTTAATAAAAAATCGAAGTATGCAATTCAGGTATTATAAAGTAAAAAAAAATATGTACTTACATTTTTTTGAGTATTTTACCTGTCGGATATTCATAAGTACCACGAAAAAAAATCGGAATCACAATTTAGATATCAATGAAAAAAAAATTGTCGGTAAGAAAGGAGGAATGTTTAATACTTTTTTTAACGTTACAGTCGTTATTTCTTCCACCGTGACCACAATACCATATACGGCCGTCCTCAGAATTGGCTCTTCACCTACCGGTAGAACGGTGTTTGAGACACCAGGGTGTCTAAACCGAAGGCTCCTTGTAGAATATTTTGATTGCTACGAAAAATGGCAACAAATAACCAGTCCATATTCTAAAATAATGTGGATTCAAAATCACAAAATCGTAACAAGTTGCAAAATTAGTTGCATAAGGGATAGGTGGTTTGGTTTGGTTTATTAGATTACGGCAAAGCACTCGAGGGCTATCTGCCTTAAGGGGGATGCGTTCGTGGAGGACTTTTTAAGGGAAACTGGCTCGTACACACGTTACACATGGGGAAAACCACGAAAACACCCATGCAGCCAGCCCGTTCGCGGGATTCGAACCTCGGACCGAACTACCAGTGTTCAGCGACGTTAATAAGGTATAGGTGACTAGGAAGCTAAGGTGGAATAAAATTAGCATTTAAGATATTGAAAAGCTGTCGAGCTGGTGAAAAGTCCTGTCTGTAGATAGTAGCTGTTCATTCGACGGAGCCAGTCACGTGGTAGGTCACCCTCCCAGAAACTGACCCCGCGCGATGCTACTTGAAAACCAGATAACCTGGCAAGTACAACGGATGAAACAAACTTTTAGAAAATAAAGTAGAGATCATTTTCCGCATTTCTGCATTTCGTTGGTTGCTAAATCTTTAATGCCTTTCGTCAGTTATCTTCATTAGATACATTACAGCTTTGAATCCAGAGGATAGATTATCCGCGATAAATTTCGACTTTCTGATATCATCAACGATCTCGATAATTTTTGCAAAGAACTTTTGAATTTTTTCGTCTCGCAGCCAGTTAATGGCTTCAGCTGTGTCTACTGGGAACTGTCGTAATTTCGTTTTAAGTTTCTCACTGTACAAACCCTTCTGGGGTGGAGGGTTGCTTTCTTCACTGGTTTTCACGAATTGTGGGAAGTCATCTTTCGTGGCGGTAAATTACTTCGGGACGCTTGGGGCAGTTTTACGTTCAAATTTCTTCTTATATGCTTCGCGTACGCGATAGCTGCACACGTGATTTTCCCCACAGAACAGACATGTGGGTGTTTCATCTTTATTCTGAGGGCAAGTATTACTACGATGATCTTTTCCACATTTACAACACCTAACTGCATTAGTACACAAATGGATCCATTTGCGGTTTTGCAGCTGAAGATGGTGGTTCGGTAAAACCATCGAAACTAGTCCTGTGAAAATTTTGTAAATATAACGTTGATTTTTGTTGTTTGACTTCTGAATTAGTATTTATTCGGCGTGTTATTGTGTCTTAATTAGCAAAGTCAGGTTGGCCAAAATAAGGTCTCAAAGGACAATTTTTTGATTCCGATACTAATAATTCTTGGTGTAATTACCAATAACAGCATTCATCTTCGAAACGGACATATCCATTCGCTTTGAAATCTAAGGAATTCGAAGAGATGAATAATAAAATTTTAAAATGGCGCGGTAATGCACAAATATTCAGTAATCAATCAGGGAGCTGATAACATCACGCATAGAATTAAAATTATTTAAATAATCATTCATAATAAAATCATTTTTTTTTAAAATGCAAAACTAAATTGTATTTTAATATTTAACAGCCATAAATAATGTTTAAAACATTAAAATAAATTTATAGATATTAAAACCAATTACTTTTAAAGTAAGGTGACGTCATTGATTATATCATCCACAACATAAAATTATATAAAATATCATAAGCAATAAAATTTTTATTTCAAATAAAAAAAGCAAAATTAAATTGATTTTTAATATTTAGAAGCTATAAATAATATTTAAAAACATGGAATTTATGCGTAATAAAAAGCATTATTTTTTAAATAAAATGACAACAACGTATCCGTTACCATAAATAACTTATTCAGCAATGGGTTTACCATAAATCGTATCGCTCACCAAAAAAAATTGCCAAAATCCGTGCAACTATCTACCAAAATAGCACAAAAAACGGTGATGCCTTCGCCGTGATTCGAATCTAGGCCTTTCGGTACCGCTGTAAGCTTTCTTAACTACTACACCGTTTAGGCGGCACATTTCACAGATAAATATGTGCTTAAAATTATGCCTATATCACGGATTAAATAGAACTTTCCTATTAGTACTATAATTCTTTGTAAAATACTTTGAATAATCTGAAATGGTGCACAAGTTTGTCTTTAGAGGAATAAGGGGAAAGATTAGTTCTTCTAAGCGCAATAAAAATTTAATGAAGTGATTCTTTTTTTTTTTTATTTATGGGAAGAAAATCTGTTATGTAAGTTCTACCGTTCTAGATACTTTCTAGAACTCTAGAAACCTCATGTTGGAACTCAGTCATCGATTTAGTCACTTAATCGCCTAATATGTAACCTGCAAATTTCAAATGTCGCCAAAGGCTTATGCTGTGATTTCTGTTTATTTTCTTCTGCTTTGCTTGCTTCTCATTTTAACAAATCTCATGGCTTATCTCAATTTGGGGGTTTAAAAGCAATTCTTGAGGGCATATTTGGTGACAATTACTAAGGCGATAATTAGTGAAATTTTGTAGATCTTTAGTATTGAAAGTAAAAACCACGGATACTCCGGATACTTTATACATCGGTGGTAAAAACATTTCACCCTTGTTAAAGCTGCCACCGCGCTTAAACACCAAAGTCGGCAAACTATGCGGCCTAATCTGTAATGTGCAAAATTCAAATATCGACTGACGTTTTTGCAACACCACTAGCAACAAGCCCCCCCCCAAAAAAATAAGTCATAACCTTGTTGCCTACCAGCGATCGAGCGGTAAGTCATTGAACATTGGTAGCTCGGTTCAGGGTTCGAACCCGGAGAACGGGCTGACTGCATAGGCGTTTACGTGATTTTCCCCATATGTGTAAAGTGTACATGAGGGAGTTTCCCTTAAAAAGTCTTTCACGAAGTCAACCCAGGCAGATAGCCCCAGTGTGCTTCGCCTTAAGCTATCAAATCAAACTAAACATATCCTTGTTAATAAAGCCACCATGCCTATTCGCCAGAATTGGCCAACTTAACAGCAAAGTATGAATTGTGCAAATTTAAAAATTCCTAAAAGCTTATTCGGTCGCTGCTTTAACAAGGAAACACACAGATTTGCTTTAATAGCGTTGGAATATCGCCAGCAATCGTCAAAGCCTGTTTCATACTCCCAACTGAAGAGTAATAGAATCCCACCTAGAAAATACAAATTTATCGCCTATTTAAGCAGAAGCATGCGTGGAAATTCTGTTTCCAGTAACGTTTGTATTCTTTCGAATATATTTATCCTTACGAGTTTTATCGTTGGTCTTGGGTAATTCATTAAATTTAGTAAATTCGACTTTATATTTTTTCGGTTCCAGAAAATAAAATAAATGGAAATATTTAAAATAAAAGTTAGGCATGCTTATAAACGTTTCCTTTCAGGTGACTTCTGGGGAAAAAAAAAAAAACTACATAACATGTCAATGTCCTCAGCCCGTGGAAACTTTTAAAAAAGTTTAGCATCGGCAAAGTATGTAAACAATTTTTTTTTTTATATCTTGCAGTTGAAAATTGTGTTAGAGCTTATAATTCGATTTTATTATTGGTGTGCTTGCGGGCAACGGAGTAAACTGATGTTATCATCAGTTTACTGACTCTAATATGGTTTGCCATATTAGAGTATTTAGACTCTAATATGGCAAACCTAATCGTTTTCCGCGTGTTTCTGATATGTCGTGCATTTAACACAGGTAAGGCATTTAAGTGCACTGCCCTGTATTTAGCACAATTTTATAAAAGAATCATAAATTAGAATAACTATGAAACTTTTTTTTAACAAGTTAGAGAGTTTACTTGACTCAAATCGAACACAAATCAAAGTTAACACTCTTCACAAACATTTAAATTGATGTGCTGAAAAATGAACTTACAAGATACTCATTTATAATTTTTAAATATCTTCAGGCAATATAAGGCAGTATTATCAGAATCATATTCCATAAAAGAAGATAACATTGCTGAAAAAGAATGAAGTACAAGTCCAATGCAAGTACAAAATAATTTTTAAGACTTCTATATCTAAAAAATCTGATGTGTACACCACATGACTTCCTTGTACGGAATATTAAATTTTACGCATTTTTTCTTGCATTTCATTTAAACTTATTGGATTGAATTAAATCTACTTCGCCGACGCGCATAAACCACAATAGAATAAAAGCATTCTTTAAAATTAAATCTAGTATTTGTTTACCATAGCGACACTCTGGCGCTAGATTCACTTAACAGTATTAATAATTACATAACAGTTAACTTATATAATAATTATATAACGGAAATTAAGTTAACTGTTATATAATCCAATAATTATTAACAATTAACTTATATATTTCGTTCATATTATAACTCATAATGCACAAAATTTATATCATTTAAAGAATAGAATTATCTAATCGTTGCCACATGCTCTATTCAAACACTATAATAAAGCTAGAATGATGTATAAAAGAAATTAAGCAAACAAAACAAAAAAGAAACAATTTTTTTTCACAGACGATTGAGTATTTCTCATTTAATTAATTCAGTTCTCACTTCGCGATAAGGCAAAAATACATAAAAACTCAAAATATCTATATTAAAAATTACGAAGTAAACCTTAAACACGTATTTCCTCGAAAAAATTCCAGAAAGAATTAAGCATGATTTAATTGGCAATAATAAATGAATGCGTTATCTTTGTTGTTGCGAAGCTAATTTCTCTAGATTGTCAACAAATCCACTAGTCTCCTGTTTCAAATGTAAAGAAATATGTCCGCCATGTTATTTAAAACTTAACCGCACTTAAACAGCTTTTAAATTGTTGATAATTGTACAAATATTGCTTCCAGAATTACGAAAGGCATAAAAACCTTAACCGGAATAATAAACAACATAATTCAATCATTTTTAAAGAAAAAAATGTACAATTTACAAACATATAAGAGTAAAGAAAGTGAGATCACTGAGCCGGGTAACAGAGTGGATATATATATAAATATATTTATATACGTTTGGTGCGGCCGATTGCAACCAAAATACGAGGTGCACATCTACATGTTATACACTGACTACCAATAAGTATTTGGACACCTATGCAAATGACGATATCTGCGGTCCCAAGGTACGCCACGGACTCCGCCGGTATACATCGTGTAGGAAACAGCATCGGCTTTAGTCGCATGCAAGATGCCTCGCAGTTCGGAGCTGTCTGATTTCGAAAAAGGTATAATTATCGGGTATCACAAATGTGGCCGATCCTTAAGGGACATATCTAGCGATCTGAAGTACCCAATATCTACAGTGGCCTATGTGATTAAGAAGTGGAAGGTGAGGGGTGATTGTCGGAATGTGCCCCGAGTCGGCAGACCAATGAAACTGGGGGATAGAGACCGACGAGTGCTGTTCAGAGAAATTCGGAAGAACCGCACCCAACCGAACGCCCTCATCCGCGAGGAGTTTCAACAGGCATCCGGGAGTATTGTTTCAATGAATACCATCCGTAAGGAAGCACATCTGCTTGGTTTTCATGGTCGTGCTGCTGCCCATAAGCCTCTGATCACTAAGTCCAACCCCGCTGCTCGGTTAAAGTGGTGCAAAGCACATCGAAATTGGACCGTAGATCAGTGGAAACGGGTTCTTTGGAGCGACGAATCAAAGTTCACCCTTTACCTTTCGGATGGCAGGGTCTGGGTCTGGCGTCTACCTGGAGAACATCTCCTGCCAGAATGCATTGTGCCAACAGTCAAGTTCGGCGAAGATGGAATTATGGTCTGGGGGTGTTTCTCCTGGTATGGGCTGGGACCCTTGGTCCCCATTCATGGTAAGCTCAACTCCGATGCCTACTGCACTATTTTGGATGACAATGTGCTTCCTTCGTTGCGGCAGTTTTACGGGTTGGACCCCTGTTACTTTCAGGACGACAGTGCCAGTTGTCATGTTTCGACGTTAACCAAGGCTTGGTATGGTGCCAATGGAGTGAGTTCATCGAATGGACTGGCCTGCCCAGAGTCCAGACCTGAACCCTATCGAGAACCTCTGGGACGAATTGCATCGTCGAATTCAGGGGTGCACTACCCTTGCAAAATCGGTGAAGGACCTTCTGTGTCTTCTCCAAGCCGAGGGGAAGAAAATACCACTAGCTGCCATACAAAGACTTGTGGAAAGCATGCCCCGGAGGGTCCACGCTGTAAATACCTCTCGTGGAGGCTCTACCAACTATTAATTTTGAATAAAGTTAGTTTTTCTTTACTATCACAAGTGTCCAAATACGTATTGGTAGTCAGTATAGCAGTCTTATATACAAAATTTCAACGTTCTAAGGCTACTCGTTTTTGAGTTATGCGAGATACGTACGTACATACGTTCGTACAGACGCCACGAAAAATTCTCTTCAGAATTAATTTTAAAGCAGTTTTATAATTTTTTTGATGGAAAAGAGTGTTTTATTTTGTCCTTACGTACAGATATCACGCAAAAACATCGTTAAATTGCATTCGATAGCGGTCAAAATGGATATTTTCGTTGAAATATGCTGCCTGAAACTTTTCGCGATTACAATACTTCCTTTTTACTTCGTACAAGGAAGTAAAAACAAATAAGTAGAATCCTCTCTCGCCCATATATCATTTGGAGCTTTTGGCGTTGCCTAATTTCATTATGCAAAAGTGACACTAATTAATTTTAACAGTTTTCTTCGCGTACACGTCCTGCCTTGTATAGTTAGCTTTCCATGCTCAGGTTTTTATTGCGATTTTCCATCTCGTTTTTTAAACCTATAATTCATCTTTAAAAATAATGACCTCTATTATAGTACCCATCATTTTTTTTCTGCATGTTTTCTTCGTATGTGGCTCTTGTCTTTTATGCACAGTCCATATTGTATTTACTTGCTTTAAATAAGAACAAAAAGGCTGTGGGTGCTTGCAATAGCTTTTGCAATTGTCAAATAACAATGCACCCATAGGCATTTACCTTCGCATACCATAAGGACAATGCAGACCTTAATGAACTTTGAAAACAGGGTACTAACATACTATTCCGTAGACCAAGGATGTCAAACTCGCGCCCCGCGGGCCGCATGCGGCCCACAACAAATATTTTTGCGGCCCGGCCAATATATCGGCAAATAATAATATATAATAATAAAATAACATATCGACGAAGAAAAAAAAATGAAATGCTTACTGCTAAGTAATTAACGATAATTTATTCAGTGTTGTTAGATTACTCACAGCGAGCTGACACACACACTACTTAAATTACAAATGCGTGTGAGTAGCTTGCGTTCAGCTACCTTCGGCTTTTGGGGGACACGTGCACTCAGAACTTGTACGCATCCCCCGATAGCCGAATGTAGCCGAACTCATGGTCTCAGTTTTCCAATCATAGTTTTGTACGACATATTGGTGCATGCTTGTGCATGCACTTTGCTTTATTCTTAATTATTACTTAATTTATATTGTTACGGATTTCATAGTTATTTATTTAGTTTTTTTTTTTTTTATTTAGAATTGTAATTAGAGTTGCTTCATGTTGCCTTAGCAACGCAGACGGTTTTTGAAAAGACAGCTGCGTTGGAAGGTTAAAAATAGAACAGCGCGTGCATTTAATACCTAATAAATAAATATCTCGTAATTGCTGTTGCCATCCACAAAAATCCAGATATTTATAGATGTTTCCAGTATATTCGAGAAATTAATTATAAAGCTTATAAAAGCCGAGACAAACACTCATCTCAGTAGTAGCTGTAGTTCTAGCGAAATGTTTGTTTACTTAATGCTGTGATTGATTTGTAGCGATTTCGCTGTGAGATAGAATTAGTTTCTTTTCTCTGTTTTGAATTGATTTTTTGCTAAACGTTTGACATTTTGTGATATTGTTAGAATATTTTTGAAGAAATATTTCAGCATTTTGATTTATCTCTTGTAGAAAGAATAAATTTTTGTTAACTTTTTAACGTTAACCGTGTTTATTCCAGCCCTTTGTATTCAGTATGTCTATATCAAAAACAAGTGGGAGTAAAATTAAACGAAAAATCGCTAACGAACATAGAATATTCCAAGTAAAATGAGAATTAGAATATTTTTGCTGTGAAATAAAAGATAAAATAATCTGCTTAATATGTAATAATACTATAAATGTATAGAGTTGCGCGCCCCCAACTTGCACGCAACCAAGAGGTGACTGTTGAAACTGGAAAAGAGACAGAGTCTTGCTAAGGGTTTAAGTCCCTTTTTATTCAACTTAAGAAGTTACAATTGCGTGCTCTTGACGCTCACAAACTACGCCGACCCGGCGGTAAAATAAAAATAAGAACCTGAAAAGAAATAATAACAGGACTCTAACTACGAGGCTCTCTAAAAGTAACTAACCTCACCGCGTTTTACAATACCACTGCTAATTCAGCAAACTTTGAATATCACGTTGAACGATTAACAATTCTCCAAGGCAAGCACACAGGCCGAAACGCGGGGTTCTTCAATTTCTGTCTAA